ATTTAAGCTCAGGACAACAAAACCTTTTGAGTGATATACAAAATTCCGTCAAACGTCAAAATGGCTAGTTAAAAAGTCGAAATTTGTCTGAAGAAAAAAAAACCCACCCCGAGCACAAATATTCCGTAACTTTCGTATCGAAAATCGGAACAAATAGTTTACTTACCGGCCAAAATTGGAAAAATTTGACTGTTTCACAGTCAAACCAATGTGAAAAAATTTGATTCAATTTACTACTTCATTTGTCCTACCTTTTTTGGCCATCCATTTCACAAACTCTGATCTTATCAATTTGGTGAATGATTTGGTTCTCAATGAAAACAAAAAATATTCTTAGAGAGAAACTGTGCTTTCAAAAAAAATAATGTGTGTAGTTTCTGCGATTTACAGATGATTTATCAAAGGCTATCTATCCTGTTATGGCTCCTGTTATTTTCCCACATTTCAGATTGAATTATTTTTTGATCGAAGACTTCTGTTTGAACATTTCGTCTATAATCCTGAAAGCGTACCGCAAATTATTGTTTGTGCGCGGCAAATAATTCCACTCAACGCAATCGTTCCAAACTGAAATTTTCTCAAGGACTCAAGTTTTCACACTTGATCTTTGATATTGTCCAGAATTTATATTTGTTCGATATGTTTTTTTTCCCCAAAAATCTACTCGATAATGAATAAGGTGCAATCAGAACATTCAGGGCTTTGCCTTGATATACGAGACGTCTTGTTTAAAAACACGTAGCTTATGCGGCGAAGTTTTCCGGTGCAAAAACTAATCGAAGTTGAAATATTCGAAAGTGTCGCAAATTGAGTATTTTGAAATGCAAAAGAAAAGGAAAGGTTCTCAAAACAACAGCTTGACAAAATTTTTTGGTTAACAATTTTTATCACCAGCTAAAACATTTTTGTCTGTTCAAAGGAAAAATGGCACTCTAAGGGCCTAGCCCTGATAATAACAATCTTGTTCTGTTAGTTTGTTCATTTTGTTCACTCCTTTCAAAAAAATTAGCTTTGATTATTTTATCTTGTTTCATTTGTTTCCTGTCTAGGCACCCACAGTCTTAAAAAAATCAAAACAACGATTCAATCAGAAAAAAGAGATTATTGAATCCAAAAACGTCTGACATTTGAGCAACAGAAAATCAACAAAGATCAATATGAAAAAAGTGATCAACTTTAAACGTAAATTCTTGATTATCAATTATAATCAATTTTTCACCAAAAAATTGCTCGCGTTGTAGAAATCTGAGGCAAGATAGGCTGCTTTCCTGGTCGAACTAATTTGAAAAAAAAAACATAAAACAGAAGAAATTATTAAAATTTCACTCAGTACATTTTTAGGACCGCTCATAAAAGCAAAAGCGGGTGGTAGCGGATGACAAGAATCCGGATCGAACGGTTTTTTCTAAGCTCAACTTTGCAAAAAAGGCCCTGAATGACCCCAATTTAAATTTTGCTGCGTTGATCGAGCTTAGTTGTCTATGGTTTCTTCTCATAATTGGTACTTCTTTTTATTCTGCATAATTGGTCCCATTCATTCCATTTTCTAAAAATTGAGCCCATTTCTTTTGGTACAGGTAGAGCAAATAGAAAAGCACTCCAGATAACACTGAGATTTTAACACAGAAGATTTAGGGATACAGAAAGGGAGTTTGTGTTCCGCTGCCTCATTATGCTCTTTAATTGAGGGAAAGAATTATATAAGTTTTTTTTCCCCGTTTTTTCAAAGAAATAAATGCATTTATCCACTTTTCTTAAAATTTTGTTCATAATTGGTCTCATGGAGCATTATTTTCCTTTAATAAACAGGGATAAGTGGCACTAAAAATTGTGCTTTGAATTTGAAAAAACTTGCAAAAATTGACCTGAGAAAGAAAGGAGGCACATGAAAGATAGGGGGTGGGAGATATTAAAATAAGATGGTGGGTCATATAAGGTTCTTTTTAAAAAAATAGATGATAAGACGATCTTAGTATTAGCCATAGCTATTTTACTTACTGATGCTATTTGTAGTTTTCGATGCAGGAACAAAACTTATTTTTTTAAACGTTGCAAAAATTATGGTTATTGTTCCACTTAAGTAACAACTGTTTCAACGAGTTTTATTAAAATATATTTTGGTATAGTTTCATATGACTGGCTTTAATGATGATAATATGGCGTGAACAAATTCGGTCGACATGGCGCGATTAAATTAATACCATCAACGTGGTGTTGAAGATTCACTCGAATGCAACAACTGTTACTAAAAATTAATCAAATAAATAAAAAGAAGACCTATAAAACATATCGATCTCTTCTATTGACTAAATAAAACCCGTAAGTTAAGACATGTTGAAAAAAGATGTGGCTAATTTTCGCATGTTTGATCATTTCAACTTTTTGTTGGAATCCCTTTGATTCAAAATTGTGCTGCAAACTTTATGCATTGATGATTGTGAATTTTCAAGCTGTTGGATAACGGACTTTTGAAAACGGAACCGATCAAACGCTGAAAACTCAAGAAAGTAGCAAAATTTATGAAAAAAAACATAATTATATTATCATCTAAGACTTTTTTGCATCATGTACTGGTCATGTCACTGAACTTAATTTTCCAGTTTGAGTGGGCTCTAAAAAACGTTAGACGTTAGAATAATTTTGAGTATAATCTAATGCACAAGCCAGGGGGTATAATCTATATTTTCGAGCTTGCTAGTTTGAAATCTACACTCTAGATCAACTTTGAACTGTCCACTAGTTGATGTATACCACCCAACTTGATTTTCAACCAACAATTTCAAAATGTGACGAATGTCTCATCAAAGTACTGCTTGTTCGCCTTATGTTGTTATAGTTGAAAAGTTAATGATTTCTCATGCTTGTACCGCTCGAATAGTTGGTAAGTTGAAACTTGATCACGTGTGCGATATTATCGGTTAGTTGATTGATTTGTTCAAGAAAAAAAACTCAACATTTTCAAAGTAAATAAAAAGAAGCTGATGGTGATTCTTTAATACGCTCATCAATTCGCACAAAAGCATTCATTAAAGCCTTAAGAAAGCGCAGAAAAAAAAGAGATTTTCAGGTTTCGGTGATTACTTTGCTTTTTCAGCCCTTTGAGCCTTATAGGGAAATTGATCCTAATCCTGACGCTTATGTAAAAACACTTCCACAAAAAATCATCCGTTCAACTAAATTAAATTTTTTAATCTGAAAATTAAACTATAAAACCCGCCTTTTACTTCAACGTCAGGTAAATTTCTTGAATTCCATGGCTAAAATATTATAGCTATGCGTAACACAAAGAAAGCGTAAGATGTTAAGTCGCTTGAAGTACTACCCAACTGAGTAAATTTTTTCAAAAATACTTTTGAAAAATCGTATCTTGGAGATTTTCAGAATTGAATGATCTTTGAACTTTTTTAATGAATTTCTTTGATACTGAAGAAAAGAATCTTTTCATTTTGAAAGCCACAATTTTTCGGGGAGTTAGTTGGTGAAAACTTTTATGAAGTATCGTTTTGGGTAGTCTTGGTTAGTCAAAAAGTAACTCCTGGCTTCTTTCAAGTTGAACGTAATTGAAAGTCAAAATCTTTCTTGAGAAGTGATAGCCCTATGGCAAAAGCTGATAAGCAGCTGATAGTTATAAAAATATCTTCTGTGAGTGATGATTGCTTAAGCGTAAAAGAGATAAACATAATTATACTATTTTCAGCCATTATTTTTTGTTCCGACCATTTTTTGTTCCTTTAGTTTTTTTTGTGTTTTCCACGCAAAATTAGAAACCACAGATATGATCGGAATGGTTCGAGTGATATTATTTTAAATTTTTTTTCAGCTGAGATTCAAACTTCCAAAAACTTCTCCCAGCTTAAAAAAAACAGGTTTTTGGTTTTTAGTCTAAGTTCGACCGAATAAAGCGAATGAGCGGGTTTCTAGAAGCTTACTTATGTTTAATTTAGGCCTTGAAAACGTACTTTTCATTAGCTTTTTGCAGTTTTTTAGCGCCTGCAAAAAATATTTTTTGAAAAATTTTGAATTTTTTTGTAGTTTTTTTTTCAATCATTTTTCTATAAAAACTGTTGTCCTATTGGCACAATAATTCGCTTTTGTATAGTTTTCTCATTACACCACATGCAAAACACGACACTAGAATTATAACACATATTTTTTCAATTGTTTTTATGAATTTTGTCAAATTTTTTTGCTACTTGCTCCACAACCGTCTTGCTCCACATCCTTATTTTTGAAATCAGAAAAATGTTTTGAAGTAAAACTTTTTTTGTAAATTGCAGAAAAAATAGTAGTTAGAAATTGCGCCATTTTCTGAAGAAACCGGAAAATAACGCTAAATGCCAAATTTAAAAACAATTTTTTTTTCGGAATTGAAGATGTAAAAAATGTAAATATAAAAGTGATGCCAAGCTCAGATGATCCCCAAAGATTTTATAAGTAACCCTAAAGTAAAACCGCAGGGTTATCGAAGTAATTCAAAGTTTTACCAATACATTTTGTTCACATTTCCATCTGTCTGAAAGGAGACGACAATTGTTTTGAGTTTTAATTCCTTAAAAGAAATTCTCGACACGAAAAACTCAGTTAATATTAGCCTTTCAGTTGCATAAAAATAAAGAAAACGTCAGTTTCTTAGAGAAAAGTTTTTGTTGTTGCTGTCGCATAATCTTTTATTCTCCTGCAAAAAAGAACTAAATATTTAGCACAATGGTGATCGACAAATAATTCAAAATGATGCCCAAGAAGACATAGCCGAAAAGGTTGCGCATGTTTGAAGCGAGCGTACTTCAAATAACCTTTTGGTAATTTTTTTACGAACAGCTACTTAGAAAATAAGCATTTGTAAACTTATATTAAAATTGAAAAATATTAAATATTATCTTCTCAACCTCAACGATTTAACCATGCGATATCTAAAATCAGTTAGCTTAAATCGTCATTTTGATAAAAATAGAAACATAAACCGGATTTAGTTATCAAGTATTAATAATGAGTTCTTCGTCTTGAACTAAAGATAAGGTTTTAAACTTTGTTGTTCTTCAAGATTTCAATTTAAGTGTTTGCTAAATATTCACTCTACCCGCACGATTAAATTGATCATTTAAATCGATCTTCCTCAAAATTGTGGATCACTTTAAGTGTCTAAAAAATGATTTTAATCGATTTAGATGGATTTTCAGACTGAAAAAAAATCATTTTTTTGCTAACACGGCAAAAAAATTCTTCAGAAAAATATAATTGAAATATTTTATTCTCTATTTAAAAAAAACACATGTCGCAGATGTTATAGAATTCAAAAAAATGATCCACATAAATCAGATTTTAAGCTCGAAAATATGCAATGAAATTATAGAAAATCATTTTGTATCAGATTATGGACAAAATCCTATATGACAAACAAGAAAAAGGTCAGAAAAGGGTCAGGTTTTGATCTCAAAAAATGCATTCAAATCATAGAAAATCATGAATGTAAATAAGATTTTGAGCAAATTCTTATGAAACTAATCAAGAAAAGAGTCAAAATAGATCAGCTTTTGAACTGAAAATATGCAAGGAAATCAAAGAATTTTATCGATATTTTGGTCTTTTCATTTGGTCTTTTTTATGCTACAATACGCTATGGATGTAAAATGTAAAATGATAGGCAATGAATAAAAGCAATAAACATTCGAAACTGATGAAACTCGAATGAAAAATCGATTTAAATCAATTTAAATCCATTTTAGTCCCCTTAAAAATAATAAAAATTCAAAACTGGAAAAACTGCTTTTAAATCGATTTAAATAAATTTTTGTAGCTGGAATTTACGATCAATTTAAATCGATTTTAAATCAATCCAAATCAATTTTTACCATTTATATTTAATCTTCGTACTTCATCATTCTAAAATCGATCTAAATTTATTCAAAATATTTTTTTCATTCTAAAATCGACCCTAATTCATTTTTGTCAGTGCGGGTAGCAATTTATCGGTCAAACTGAAAAAATGATTCAAAATTCATTTACCATTGAAGGTGTTTATATTGAGGGAGCCTATACGGAAGAGTCTATTCTTGCCACCAGAGATTTCCAGGGACGAGAGCGGGACATATATTTGACAACATTTCCAAGAACGGGAACTACCTGGACTCAAAGTATCCTGGTTGGGATGGTCTACGGATTAGAAGAATTAAGGGATCAGTTTGAAGGAAAACGAATAATGTGATCCAACAATAAATTGAACTACAAAAAAGAGTTTTTTTAAGGCCAAGCACGCCATAGCGGAGCAAAACCAGTAAACAGATCTTTTGAGGCTGGGCTGATACTGGTTATTGGTCAGCTGCTGTATCCTTTATCGTCTCTTTAAAGCCCGAAAAAAATGATCTGAAAAAAATTTAAGCTACCGTTTTTCACTACAAATATAGTAAAAGTTAAGGCTATTCAAATTGATCTATGCCAATATCTACACCAAAATAGCAAAACTGGGGTTGTCGAAATGCGGACGACATTTCCTAATCTGGAACTTCATTTCATAGACGAAGGTTGCGGATATAAGTTGGCACACCAAATAACCCGTACACCTCGAATGATGAAAAACCACCTACCACCCCACTTAGCACCTCGTGAAATCTTTTCACACCTTCGAAAAAATATCTTAGTTGTGCGGAACCCTAAAGACACGGCATTGAGTCACTTCAATTTCTACAAAACTGAGCGGACTTTGAAAGGGTTTATGAAAACTGATAATTTGGAGGAATTCTTAAACTTGTTTCTTGAGGGAAAAGTGTTCTATGGTAGCTGGTGGGATTGGAACAAAGCGTGGATCAAAAAGTACAGGTGAGATCTTTTAGTCTTGTAGTTCAAACCTCTGCTTCCTCTTTTTTGGCTACGGAGTCAAAAATAAAATGTTAAGTTGAATAAATTTTTGAATTATCTCAGCCAACGCTTTTTGTTAATCTTTTTTTATCAACCCTGCATCCGATCAGGTTTTGCAAGATCTTGAAAAGTGACAAAGAATTCAACAGAATACGTTTTCTTAGAATGCGCTATCAAAAGATTCGCTTAGTCGTCATTTCCTACTTGAAGACTGCAGCGCTGGTTCAAAAATCCCTGACAAAACGAACAATGTTTGGAAACTTAAGCGCGCTTCTCTCAAAGTGGGTTAAGATTAGACAAAAAATGAACTGAGCAAAAGTTGCTCAAAACTTCACCAGGGTTATTATCGTGCAGTTACTTCCCCGAAATCTTATTACTTCACCAAATTTTACCTTAATAATGGGTCGATTTGGTTTTTTAATTGAACAAAAATTACGCTAAAACTTTTACGTTAATAGATAAGGAAGTTGTATCGAAAAAGCTTTTTACACAGCTCAACAAAATTTTAGAAAAGTATAGTTTTCAAATGTTTGAAATTTGTTTTAGCCCTGCATTTTATTTTTATATAACAAAAAATCTTTTCAAATTTAAGCTCAGGACAACAAAAATTTTTGAATGATATAAAAAACTCCGTCAATAATGGCTAGTTAAGAAGTCGAAATTTCTCTGAAGAAAAAAAAAATTGCCTGCGCACAAATATTCCGTTACTTTTATAATGAAAAACGGAACAAAAATAATTGATTTCAAATGAATTATAATGCGTTAAGTTTTTGCGAGAAAAAATGGATTTCTTTCCATCTTTAGTCTAACTTTGTTGTCTGAGCGTAACATGCATATAAAGGTGGTTCAGGTGGTGGGGTGGGGATTTGTTCAGGTGGTGAGGGGGGGGCTGGTCATGTGGAGGGGCTCAGTGGGGGAGGGGAGCAAAGGGGCAAACGTTAGGGGGATTGAAGGGGAGCAAAGGGGCAGACGTTGGGGGGGAAGGGTGAGCTCAACGGAATCTTTTTGCAATTTGAGTTTAGGTTTTGAAATGGATTAGGCCAGGCCGTACATTCGCTTTGCAAAGTTTCCGCATCACTCACTTGATAAATGCTGAAATTCTTGCAAAATTTTGCACGACGCGCAAAACAAAATTAAAGTGGAAAAAAATCCATTTTAATGTGATTTCCTACTCATTATAAAATCCATTATAATGGATTCAAAATGATTTATAATGCATTTTGTTTTGGCGAGAAAAAATGGATTTAAATCCATTTTTAGTCCAATTTTGTTGCCTAAACGTAACATGGGAATCGATTATATGTACAACATTATAGACCACGAAAATCCATTATAATCGATTTGTTTTCTCTTTTCTTAAATGCGGGTGGGAGTTGTTTATATTGACAATGTCTCAGACCACGAAAATCCATTATAATCGATTTTTTTTCACTTTTCTCAAATGCGGGAGGTTTGATTTCATGGGGAGGTTTGTTTAGGTTGAGATCGTGCTTTTAAATCCGCAAAAGCTTGAGATTTTTTCAGAAAATGGTGGTACCTGAAAACTCTTTGGACGTAGATCTAGTTTTGAGATCAACAAATTTTTTGAATAAATATAAAACTTACTTTGTAATTCGATGCACTTATGTAATCGAAGGGACTTCAACGAGAACAATCTGCTGGTTCATTATGAGGATCTATATCAGAACTTCGAGAAAACAGTCTCTGAAATCGGCAACTTCTTAGACCTAACGCATGCAGACCACCTCTACGTGCGAGAATTAAGAAAGCTTACATCTCTAGATTCTATGAAAGTGAGATACGAGAAAAGCTCACCACTTGAGAAAGGCATGGTAAACAAAGGTGAGCTAAATGCGTGGAAGAGAAAATTCACGGCGGAAATGTCCGAGAAGTTTGACGAAATGACAAGAAAAACTTTCCAGGATGATGAAATTTTAGCCAAGTTCCTGTAAAGTATCTGCAGTATTAAACAACTTAGCTATTTTAAAAATTTGATTAACAGATTTAAAGCTAACACTTGAATGTTTTGACTGCCCTTTTTAACGTTTGTCCTAAAGTTTCGTTTGCAAGGGAAAAATTCAGAAACAATTTTTAAAAATTAGCCATGCCACAAACTGCGTCATATTTATAAGTTTTGCGGCTATAAACGCTGTCTTTGGCATCAGAAACACTATACAGGCAAATCTTTTTAAATGAGGAAGAATTTGTGAATTTTTTTTGATTTGTTAACATTAACTCATAATGGAAATTCCCACTAATTTTTTTAGGTTTTAAACTATCATCATGATTGAGAAAACTGATCATTCTATTGCTGATGATTAATTTCCAAAAAACGTACGGACTAAAATCTGGGTCTAAATATTAGTTATTAAATATTATGTCTGTAATCATCAAAATCGTCTATTTGACCAAACTTGTGAAGAGCAATTACTTTTGCAATTTGACATTCCAACAGAAAAAAGTCAGTCTATGCAATCAGTAAAAAATGAAGTAAAACAAAATAGGAAGGCTGGCGTTTTTTTACTGCTCAAATCATCAAAACAACACGGTTTCTTTTTTTCTAAAAAATTAAAGGGTGTTAAATTTACAAGCTTAGTCAGAGCATTGAAGACACGGTCGATTAATTGTTTTTTTTTTGTTTTTGATTTTTGTATAACTTGAATGAAGTTGTGAAATACTTGTGGAAAATGTCAATTGGGAAACGTGTCGAAGCGAACATCGACAAACCAAAATTTGTGAAAAACATGACCAGAAAAATTTCGTCGTTTTATGTGCTACGTGATTTAAATTACAGTAGCTATGTTTCGAGTTGTGTTTCATACTGTGAGGTTATGAGCCGGAATGTTTGTTTTCTTTTTGGATTTTTTTGTCAAAAGTTTTGAACATGAAAGCTGTTAATATACTATTATCACTGCAACATTACTTGTTTTCGTAATTAACCTTTCTCTTTCTGGCTTTCGTTTTCGTAAAACGGTCAAATGTTTTAACAACTATTTGAATAATTGATCTGTTACCTTTTGATCTATTTGAATATTTGTACGATGAATCTTAAACTTAGTCCCAGACGAACATAGAACAAACGATCCCGATTGAAATTAGTTTGAAATTAGTTTTGACATCAAAATGATCCAGATCGTAGGAAAAAATCTTCGCTTATTTGAAGCTGCACTAATTTTGCGTTATGTTAGTCTGGATTATACTCCACAGAAAAAAAGGGGTTTTTAACAGATTGTACGCCACAGAAAAAAAAAGGATTCAGGAACCGGCTTTTATTTGGCTCTCAATATTATATGCTCCGGTTTTTTTCTTTGATTTGTTCTACATCCCATGTAAACTGCAAAATGAAAACCGGGTAACAAAATTGCAAAAACAAACCGCTTCCCTCAGTTCATTCTGAATGATTCAGTTCGCCACGAACGCTTTAATGTAGGACAAAATATCGAGCGTTAGATATCAGAAAATTTCAAACTGTTTTTTTTGAAAACCTTCAAAAAATGATTGAACAAATGGTGCAGTATGAGCAATTGTGACCTTATAAAAATAAAATCAGACACTGAAAATGTTTTTTTCGGTTGTTTATTGCGTGTGCGGGGATAAAAATAACATCAAAAAAGGAAAAAAAAATCAGTCGTTTTTTTCCTTTTTATCAATTTTTCTTATCAATTTTAATTTTTATGAATAATTAATTTTTCTCATATGAATTGCATGATATCGATAACTACGAAACATTCCTTCCAGGTGATTTTTTATTGGATAGTCAGGCTCAAAAAATGGCAAGGCCGCACAAAAAAAATTGAGCAAAGCAAATCAATTTTGCACAGATTTTAAAGAGAGTTTTTCCTATGCATTTGGTCACAAAGCTACTTAAAAGGGTTTTGGTGCAAGATTTTCTCGTGTATTCACTAACATAAACAAGACTGCTCGTATCAAGGCGATGTCCTGAATGTTCCGACTGCCTTTTAAAGTTTATGGAGCCGTAATAACCTTAAAAAATTCAATGAAAACAAAATGAAACTTTTTTTTTATTTGAAAGTTTTTATGAAAATCATCCCCCCCACACGCCATATAAAGTACAAAAGGATAAATTTCGCTCCTTGTAACAAACTATTTATGGCAAATAAGCTTCTTTTAACCAATTTGGAACGATTTCTAAGACGGATTAAATCTCCGCTTACGCGTTAATAGCGCAAATTGTATCGCGCGTTAATTGTCCAAAATTGGCCAAAGTGGCAATCTTTAAACCCCCGTAACTTTACGAAAAATGATCACAGGTGAAATATCTTTTTGAATTTGAGCTCAGGACAACAATAATTTTCGAATGATATAAAAAAATTCCGTCAAAATGGCTAGTTAAAAAGTCGAAATTTGTCTGAAGAAAAAAAAACCCACCCCGTCGGAACAAAAATTGAGAAATCAACTGAAATTAAGTCTTAGTTAAGATAATATTGTACACTGTGTTCAAGCTAAGCTGAACGGAAACCTGCATCCCTACGAAAGTAATGCTTATGAAAATACCACAAGACGTTGCCACAATTGAACAATTTTCGCGTTTTAAATTTCGTTTTTTGAATTTTTCTCAGCATTCATTTAACTCTTAGCGTTCAACATTAGAGTGAATCGCAACAAATTGTAGAGGATGTAACTTACTTCGAGTTATCTACACATTGTCACTTCATCAGAATAATGCTTATTACCTATTTACAAAATAGTAAGTCAAAATTAACGCCTGACGTTAGAATTTTTTTAACTTCAATTCATCATCGTTTAGTTGAAGATTTTGACAGTGTTACAGGAATTGGTTTTTTGGAATTATTGCAAAAGTTATGTCAAAACAGAACAAGACTGTAAGATGAAATTGAACAGAACACTAAAAAAATTGCAGAATTTTAGTTTTGCAAGTAAGAAAACATTAAAATGAACAAACAAATTTTAATTAAACAACAGAAAAATTTATTTCGGAAAAAAAGTTAAAAAAATGACAAACAAAAGCAAAAAGGAATAAAAAACTTTGCTAGTCTCACAAATTGATTTTTGATGACAGTATTTAATTTTGCTAATATATATGATTATTAAAAGTTGACTATAATATTTTTCAGGCAAAATCGTTCAATTAAAAACATGAAAACCGAAAAATGCTAAGGAACTAGAAAGTTATATGTATCCACAAAAACCAGATTTTTTTTAAAAAAAAGAGTTTACCCTGGACTAAAAATAGAAACATATATTTTTTGACAATAGGTCAATATTTGTACAAATCTGAAAATTTTTAATGATATGAAGCAGTTAATGAAAATCTTTTTTTTTTAAATAGTTTTTTTAATAAAACATATTTCATAACAAGTATGATGCAAATTAACTATTGGCATTATAAAGTTATTGCAATATAAACATTCTGAAACTTTATGACAAGTTAGTTTTTTTGTTAGTTTTCAAATAGCAATTTTTATGTATTTGATCTGTCTTTGTAGACTAAAATATCCAGAAATTTTACAGATAAAAAATTTAAAGATAAATGTTTATCAGTTTTTCGAAGAAGCTCACTTCAACCTTTTTGATTCTAAAACTATTTGCTACTCACAAGCCTTGTTTATTATTGCTTAAACTGTTTGAAAAATTTTTGATGTTAGCCGAAAATTTTTCGTTCTCAAAATTTTGGTATTGGGCAGTAGCAAGGATTTCACTTCTTCAAGTGAATCCATAAAGGCATCAACAAATTGGCCAAGGAAGATGTTAACAAACACATAATAAATTTTTCCTTCAAATTTGCTTTTATCAGGGTAAAGCTCTGAATGTAACGACCTCTCTATAAAATCCAATAGAGAAAAATTAAGTCAAGAAAATATAATTCATAATATACCAAAAAAGAGACTTCTCGTATCCGAGCAAAACTCTTATCTCTGCTATAGTGTCCAAGGATTATAGAATAAGTTAAAAGGATATGAGTTGGCAAAAGTTTTTAAAAAAAAATTGAATATTTTTTGGACTTTTTGGAAAAGGTTTCCTCACACGCTATTATAGTACAAAAAGATGTGTTTAGAGTCTTACAACATATAAGTAGTGCCAAGTAGCTGTCCTTAAAAACAGTTAGAATAATTTCTGAATCGAATTAGACAAACGCTCAAGCTGTAATAGAGCGATATATTTCGCCCGTTAATTATCCCCGTTTGAATCATAGCCGTCAAAGCAGTTCCAAAATTATACTGTCATATTTTTTCGAAAAATGATTACGCGTCATTTTTTTCAAATTGATTTCAGAAACACAATAATCTTGCTATAAGCCTGCTACGAAAAATATCTACGAAAAGGTTTAGTTAAAATGTGAAATTTGACTGAAAAAAACCACACCAAGCATAAATATTCCGCACTTTCTGCGAAATCGGAACAGGAGTAGACTACGCATTTATTGGGAGGACAATGAATTTTTATTGAAGAGATTTTTTATTTGACTATTGGACAGTTTTCAAGAAGGGAAAAGCGTTTCATCAAGGATATGTCGAAATTATTTTTATTCGTCTATTGCGTCTATTATTCACTAAAAGCCCAGCAGTTGTTCCGTTTTCTGTAATGTTAAGCTTCCCGTTTTGGTTAAAAAAACATCTAATTAGACTAAAAAGTAAGATTGATTATCGAAAATGTTCAAATGACATAAATCCGATACCTGGGCATAATCGTGTCTGTATAAACAGTCCCATACAAATAGTCCAATACAAAACAGCCGGAATGAGAAAAAACAATTCAATACAAAGCAGTTCGAAAAACAGTCCCAAGAAATAATTGTTTTAAAAAGCCGGTAGGCCGAGAACCGTCCTTTGTTCAACAAAATACACAACAAAATAGGGATCACCGCAGTTGCGCCAACGTGTTGCGAACTTGCCATCAGAGGGTTGGACTTAATACGACATTTAGAGCCGGTTATTGCCGCAAAGAGGCGACGCGCGCGCAGCGCGCCCACACGCGACCTCAAACCGGACTGTTTTGTATCTGACTGATTTTTCCTTCATTACATGGTTTTTTCGATTAATTTGCTTTCAACTATTTTGTATAAGCACCGATATATTATATACAAAAAACTATAACATGAAATCTGCAATTTTCAGAGACACTCGGTTTGATATATTGCAAAACTTTTAGTTCTGCTTTGCAGACAAAAAGAAAATTTTTTTAAAAATAACGTGGTGATGCGAGGTGGAATTTGTTTAAAATGTTTCTTCAAAAAATTGATGTATCATAATTTTAAGCTTCATTTGTTTCTGTTTAATTATTGCTTTTAAATTTTGTTTCTAGTAAGTTTTATAAATTGAAGATCATGATAACGGTGTTTGAGTGCAGAGTAGAAGAATTTGCACACGGAATGTTTGGCAATCTACGGTGACTCACTTTTGTGCTACAGATTAAATACCCCAGCCGCACCTTCAGTTCTGAGTCGCCTTGGGTTACATAGCCAAGGGGAAACCTTTGATTTCCTATCAGGAACGTGAAAAGCCCAGGGTAATTCAGCAATTCGTGCCAGGGGCCACCCAGAAATTTGCCAGGAAGTCTAAGATACAAATCTTTGAAAACCAGGCATGCACACTAGCTAGGTACCCTTTTTCCAGGAATCCCACGAAATCAGAAACTTCTTAAAACAAAATGATAACCATTTACTTCAGCCATCTTTGCTTATGAAAGCCTGATAGTATTTACGACAGCCAATCCAAAAACGAGTTCGGCGCCAATATGTTCTAAATTTAAGGAAAAGAGCGCGCCAAAAATCAATTGTGTAGTTCAAGCTTTTCAAAAAATACTCAAGAGTGGCGATTATTTTTTGTTTTGAGCCCGAAGTTGTTTTCTCACCCATAAGAAGCAAGCACAGATCATATGTCGCTTTAGAATCCCGACCATGGTCATTTGACTGGTAGTCACCTGCATTGTCAGATCATTATTATAAAAGAAAACTAAAAATTAATTAACCTCATTCTTGTTACAAAGTCAGAATATAAACGCAGTATCTAATATTGCTAAAATTTTATAGAAGTAACATTAAAAATCGGGCTCTTCTCATTATAGTACCCCGGCCTAGTACCGATCAGGCTATAACCCCCTCCTTGAAATTCTTTTTTTTTTCAGGGATTTATATGTCTTTGTGTATGGGACTATGCTCAGAACTAACCTTATAATATTGTACTAGGCAGATTTTAATATCAAGACCAACTACAGTATCGTTTTAACCTCTTTCAATTGTCATTTTTCTTAAGAAAAACTGGAAACATGATGCTTTGCGTTATCACCATCATTTAACAAAGTGAGTCTTAAAACAAAGTTTTTTAAATTAGGTATTTTGTTCGCAATTTTATTGCGCTTTAATTAGTTTAAAGGCATGAACTTTTCTTAAGAAAAACTTAAAAATGCGTAAAAAAATAAAATGCGCACTTAAAAGAAGTTAAAACGACCGGTTTCACTAATAACTCGCTAGATCTATGAGCTACGACGATATATCGGCATCGTGACTATTACTGTAAAAAGCTTGCATTGTTTTTTCATGCTTTTTCCAAGCTGGAATTTCAACTTTGTGACCGGCCATTAGCAAGCTAAAGTTCTGGAAATCTTCGAAACTAGTCAGTCTCGGACTCAATTTCTTCCGACTGCTACTCGTTCGTCGTTCTCGGAAACTACCTCCTCGCGGTGATCCTGGTGAGACCTGACGATCATCGCTCGGAGTTAAATGACGAGAACGTCTTCGTTCTCGTGTGCTTCTTGTGCGACGAACATTACTTGTCGGCTTCAATTGATGATTATTCGCAAAGTCTTCTGCTTCTTGAACCTGCTCGTCACGTAAACTATTCGAGGGCGACTTTCTAGGGTTCCGAAGATGGGTAGTTGATCTTCGTTTTTCGGCAACTTGATAACTAACTTGATTATTCCGCGATTCGTATAATCTGGTGCTGTTGCTTCGTTCCATAGTATTTTTACCAGAGTTTTGGCTTGCATTGAATTTAAAACTCGTAAAATCTTTACTGTGATATTTATTAACCGGAGTTCCCTGGTAGAAAAATGTATTTTTGAATATTTGTTTGCCATCGCTCGGCGAAAGTGGCTTAGATCTGCAACCTGAACTTGCCGATGTTTCTCTATTTACGAATTTATGACTACTTTCTGTAACACATAGTTGGCAAAGATTTTCGCCTTCAGTGCAAAATTGAGAAAAATGAGGTGATTTTGAGTTTCTGCGCGCAGCACCACAACTTTTTCCGCGAGGAACACCGCAAGTTTTCTCGCGCGGAACATCAAAAGTGTCTGAATTTGAATTGAGATCAACGGTCAGCGCTTTTCCTGGGTTTGTAATCACTTTTCCATCAGTATTTGTAAATAGTTTTTCAGATTCAGTGATATTTGAATCAGGGTTTGAGGTCATAATTTCAGCAATGCAGTACTGGCATTGGCTGGATAGAATGCGATCGAGACTCATTCGTTTCCGAGTTGACGACTCGTCGCATGTCGGTGACGAGAGAGACTTGTGTCCCGAATTCTCCCGGAGACTCTTGGATTTATTTCGGGTGAATTTATGATCGAGGTATTGCGGCCCTGTTTGCGGAACTTGTAAGTAGGGCGAGGAAGACGTCGTTGATATGGTGGGTATCTTTTGCTTGCCAGTCATTTTCTGAAGCAAAGAAAAAACATATCTGCCATGAAAAATTAAGCATATCACGAAAGTCAAAATCCACAATTAATCATTTATTCAAGAATCGGCGCTACCAAAATTGTACACTCATAAAAAAAATTATCTCAGTAATATGTGCTCGATTCATAAACGAATAAATTATAGAATGAACTAACGGATCTTGTAAGCACTCCGATCTTCTCAATTGTAAAAATGATTATTTGAAAAGTTCACTTTTCGTATATTATGGTTAACCTTTGCATTAGTTCTATAAATAGGCGATTTTTCGTTGCAACGTTTTGTAGACAGGAAATTTGCTATTGAGATCCACCTCTTCAATAAACTTTCAGCAAATGACTTGTCTAAAGTTTTCTCTTGTAATCTGAAAACCCTGAAACTATCCAATTTAAGAGTTGTTTTAAGTTTGAAAAATTTAAAATAAAAATGTGGGATTTGAATTCTTTTTTTTTCTTGTAAGAAAATCAGAAAAAAAACAAAAGAAATAACTAAACACTAACTGGTCTCGAGTTTCGTTCCATTTTTTCATCTTCCGAGTCCTCGACATCAGCCGAGTGGTTTGTATCATCTTCAGTTGGAACATTCGAAGCATCTCCGTCTTCGCAAATTGCGCCGTCAATTTTAGGCGACTTACCCAGCCGATTAATTCTTCTCAAGCTCTTATTCGACATTCTTCGTTCGGGGGGTGCAGTTTGAATAGATCCGAGCGAGGATTCGCTTGATTCTGATGTCTTCATGTTGTTATCGGCACTATCCGATTTCCGAATAATATCGCCTCGTTTTTGCGAGACAGTACTTCCATTCACATCAATTGAGTGAGCTCGTTCCTGATTGGATGAGACATACGGTTTTTGTGGCTCCCGATTGGTTGAAACAGACTCATCGTCTTCGTCGACTGATGACTCAAGAACGCGATTCATTCCTGGAATCGGTTTGAGATCCGAATTTAGAAGAAGATGTTTTATAGTAGATACTGTTGCTGAACTGCGCCTAGCTTCGTCTACAGTTAGAATTGGGTAGTATTTGTTGCCTGCAAGAAAAAGATATGTTTAGGTTGTATTTGAAAATTTGTGCAGATACTTTTTTTTTCACTTCAAAAAGAATGACTGAACGTTGAAAATCTTTGTCTACGGTATCAAATTTCAGATATACAAAGCAAGGCAAACCGGTTACAGTGCGAGTTGCACAGATAGTTTAGACCAAAGTTATCATGTTTCAGAAAAAAAAGAAACCGATTCATTTGCTGATGTTTACTTATTTGATTGGTTACTACCGCTGCCGCCTGGTGATCGCTGATAATAAGTTTAAAATGTGAAATCTTAAACCAGTTTTTTTTTCAAAACATATCTTTTTCCAAAAACTTCTCTTGCGTCTTAAAATACAACTGGTATGGCTCACATTCAGGGGCGGATTTAGGGGGGGATTCAGGGATTCGACCCCCTGCCGATCCAAAGGGTCCTCCCTTTGATACTTTTTCAGAAATACATTTTTGGCCGACCGACCCTAAATTTTTTCTGAAGGCGCCTTCGGCGCCAATATATACTAACTTTGAGGGGGAGCGCACGCCAAAAAAAACGGCTTTTTTGACTGTTTTTTCAAATATTTGCCTGCGGCGCAGAAAATTTACCCCCAAAAAGGAGCAAAACAGTGCTTTGGGAGAGCTCAAAAAATCAATTTGGTCGACCTAAAAAAAAAGGTCGTCAAAATTTTGGAAATTTTTTTGAAAATCCGCCCCCCCCCCCCTCGAGAAAATCCTAGATCCGCCCCTGCTCACATTTGATATTTTTTTACGTCACTTGGCGTTTGTTTGATGTAATTTGGTGGGTATGGGAAAAAACAATCAAGTAATATTCTTCTTTCTGAGATCGAACGAACAAACAATTCCATCCGATTGATTATCTGGAGACAAACACCTCGAGACCCAAGATTTTGATACTTCGAAGTCAGAACTAACTCAAAAACATCACAGAGAAATCAATTAAATCTAGACCAAAAAAAAATAAATATTGACCAATTGATGTTAGCCAGCGCTACCCGCTCTGGCAAAAGCAAGGTGAAGTCCCATTTATACCAAGGTTCATTTGTTCATTTGCACCAAAATGAAAAGTCGGTCCCATCTGAACCAAAACTATTCAACTCGATTTCTGATTGGTCAAACTGTGATAGAACGAATCAATAAATTAGTTTTCTGCGGTTCAAACAGCAGAACACTAAACAGCAAAATACTGACCACCGCCTGTCGCGGCCAGCATTTTGTGAGATTACCAACAGAGGGTAGGACTTAACACAAAAGTTCAACAGGCAATCTTAAACAAAGAGCTCAAAATAGTCGGCTAGGTAGTCTTTATGCAGTTTTTTTTGGTACTAACGCGGTTGATTTTTTATTTTGGTACAAATGGGACTGATTTTTTGTTTTAGTATTTCGGAATACCCAGCAACAATAAAAATGCAACCGATTATCGCATGTAAATTATACAGCTACAAAAGATTAAGCTTTCAGAAACCCAATAATTGGTTTCATTACTTATCAAATCGACTGGCTCTTATCGATTGCATTTTATGGGGGTAATCAACAGTGCCAAAATACAACAGAGCCGAAATTGAAAACTGCGCCTGGGTAGTTTTTGTTTGTTTTACAAGCGGCCTAAAAATGACTATTTTTGACTTTTCCAGCTTCGTCCCATTTAATTAATTTACTTGTCAGTGATTTGGGTTGATTGAAAACAGTTGTTTCAAGGTCATTTTTGGCACTGTTGAACAGTGTTTTGATTACCAGCACTGTTGTAATTCGGCACTGTTGTACTGCCCCCATTTTATACTTGAAATAATCAATTCGAGAGATCAAAAAATTTTGTTTTTTAGTGTTCATATGATTTACATTATTTACAAATTAGAGGCAAATTCACATTTAATGAAGATTTCGTAGGTTAGATACAATTTTACACAAATAGATATTCATCATATACAGATTTGATGCAAATTGTCATCCTAATAGTCGAACTTGAGTAATTTGAAAATAACTAATTAAATATGCTTTTCAGTAGACTTTATGTGCTGATTACTTAATTGAAAAAAAAAGTTATTTACAAAAAATTGAAAACAAAAATGAATTGTTCTGGAAAAATTTCTGGAAATGTTTGACTTTTAATTGACAAGTCTAAATTGAAATGCTGAAACCAGAACAAGCTTCCAAAAAAATTTTCTTTTGTAAAAAAAATGGCCTAGAAAATCAAAATGACTTCATTTTTATTCAAATTGTTTTGCGAAACTCGTAGCCGTCAAAATTTAAAGTAAGTATTCTCGACACAAAGATATAATTTCTAATAAATTCTTTCATACTTACTAATCGAATCGTAACTTAAATCGATAAATTTAATTTTGCAGTTGTTTTGCGAAGACAAGCTACTGCAACCAAAAAGTTTGCCGACTAGGACGATAAAATTAGTTACCTCCTGGTAGTTAGTCTTCTAGTTAGAATTCAGTAAACAATAATATTTTGTTTTTCTGATTCTGCTTCATAAATTTGGATTTTTTTTTCTCAGAGAAAATTCTTTTTTTTTTTGAAAAAAATGAACATCATTCTTTTCTTGTCATTTTTGGCTGGTGTTTTAGGTCTCTTAGTTCTGTTTTAAAGTCTCATACTGGAAAGTCAGATAATCGAAAATCAATTTCTTTGTTGTCAGGAAATTTATGGGCTGTAAGACAAACGAGATTGCTGAGAAGAATTTCTTTCAATTTTTTTGTAATTCAGAAGAATCTGTGAATATTCATCACTTAAAACTGTGATGATATTAAACATTAACTATTCTTGTTTTAGTCAAACATCGCAGTTTGACTGCTAATTGTTCCGACTTTCGTAACAAAAGTAACGGAAAATTTGTGCTCGGTTGTTTTTTTTCTTTAGACAAACATGACTTTTTAACTAGCCATTTTAAAGGGATTTTTTTTAAATATCATTCAAAAGGTATTATTGTTGTCCTAAGTTTAAATTTGAAAAGATATTTTCAGAAAACTCAAATTGAAAAATTATTTTTATTATTTTTTTAATTTAATTTTTCATGTTATTACTGCCCTATAGACCTTAAGAGGCTTTTACGAGGCCAAACTGTGCACTGGATAGGCGCACAATTTTGTGCCTGTATGTTCCTGGTTTCCACAGACAAGTCTTAGAACATGTTCCAAAATGTTAGTAGTTTCCACTTACAAAATTTCAGTGGATTCCGCATACAAGTTCCTGTAACGCAAATTTTGTCGGCACTTTGATTTTATTCCGGAATCCGCAACGAGCAAGTATAGGAGCTGTTCCGGATGAGTCCGCAATTGTAAGCGGATTCCGCAAACGTATGCGGATTCCGCTTACATTTTGCGGCTTCCGCTTACTTTTTGTTGCGGATATCGCAAAGTTGTCTATTTTTGGAGCAATTCGAGCAATACAGTGTTTTAGCTATTTGTCCGTGGAAACCAAAAACGCAGAGAAAATCAAAGAAAAATAGCAATTTCGCGGATTCCGGGACAAATCTGATTTTTGCCAGTTGCTGAATTCGCTTACAATTCACAATATGCACAATTTGGCCTCGTAATGGCAGTCGGAACTTTCAGGGCCTCGCCCTGATACGAGCAGTCCTGTTTACGTTTTCAGTCTGAAACACAGAAAATGTTCCACCTGTTTTGAAATGAAATGTAATTCAAAATGTCAAATGTCTCATGTTTCTTGCCTCGGATCATGTTTCTCTATAAGTATTTCTCCCTATATTACCTTGTAGGGAATCTCCCCCCCCCCCTATGAAAAAAAAATAGAACAGTTAAGCATATACTAATTTTGTGCCTGGTTAACTATACCACCCCCCATATTGCAATAGGGGGGATAGTTACCAAGATCCCCTGCCTGTTTCTTACCTGATTCCAGATTTATTTGATCGTGATCTGGATCTGAAAGATAAGTGACTCCACAGAAGGGGTCAGTAGATTATACTGCTGCGTTATTTATACGCAGCATTTATAATAATAAACCGACATGTAGCCCGTTCTATGCTAGCGTAGCCGGTTCTATGTTGTCTATACTGGAGAAACAGTTTCGATACAACAACCATCTTTATTCACAAATTTTTATACCAAACTATCAAAACTATTATACCAATTTTTTTCTAACTCTAGCCGTTTCTAGATTTTAAGATTTTGGCATGAAGATTTTTACTCCGCAAGACTACTAATTTGAGGTTTCGCGATCGTCTAAATTTTGTATTGTTATGATGTTGGCTTCAGGGTTGGGGGAGGTTATTAGGTTTATGACAAGTATGCAATTTTAGGTGAATTGTGTCTAAGAAACCATTATTTTAGCAGTAGCTTCCTCAAATAAGTTTGAAAATAAGTTTGCGCTGCAAAAGTCTCTGCTAACGCGTTGCTTGTTCATTAAAAACAACTTTTTGTTACTCTAAATTGCCAAGTTGATTTTTGAAATCTTCGTGCGTCCAGTTTCAGGCGTCGATAATTGAATATTTTTTAATTTTAGTGACAGTTTTTGAAATTTGAGAAAAAATACATTTTAACCAAGTTAGAATCATATAAAAATCTCTTTTTCTTAACAAAAGATCGTCAATTAAACCAAGACATATCGTAAGTCAAGGCAAAACACTGAACGTTCCGACTGCCTTAGAACCGGTATCGGATAATTTTTAGTCAATGAATTATTGACAAACTATAACTTTGGGCTGTTAAAATTGAACATTAAGTTAAAAAAAGTCTGAGGAATATATGGCACTCAGACGAACAATAAACGTGTGTCAATAAAACTTTGTCGAGCGGAAAAATCCGCCATACATCAAAACCTCGCCTTACACAATCAGCATCGAAAACAAAATCCTTTTATATTCCCATCAATTATGGATTCTCGGTGCTCAAAGATTGATTTCAACAACTCCACCTCAGTTAACTTTATCTTTTTTGCCTTCAATGTTCTAAGCAAGGTCCCATTAATTGCTTTTTGAATTTTTCGTCATTCAGATATTTGGTGATTGTATGCATGGATCTATC